GAACCTATTGCAATAAAACGGCAATTTCATACTTTAACCCCTAATATTAGCCATGGAAAACATGAAAACTTATGAAACTTTCACGCACTGGAGAATCATGTCATCCACATCATCAGCAGTTGAGCAGACTACTACAGACTACTAATATGTGCTTGGAAAAATAACAACATACTCTTTTAGCAAATTGTCCTAACATGTCAAATATTACTTTTAATGTTTTTTTTACTCCTTTTAATATACATCTTCCTCTCTTTGGTCTTTTAGTATTTCCTCACATTGTTTGAGAAAAGCACTATACGAGACTCGGCGGGGACGGGGATTGCTTGAAACGTATTAATACCATTAAGTCATACAAGTATTAACTCATACTCTTCCAGCACTCCCTTACTTCCCGGCCTCTGCAGCAATGTACTATATCCAATAAATTACTTAACAGATTAATAAGATTACTTAACAGCTGAAGAACAATATATCCTCACTTTAATACGTGTGGACCTCCCCAAGTGTTTGTTCTGGTGTAAATAAACATAATCTTACCTGCAAGGTAGCAACATCCTCGACAAGCCTCAGGAAGACATGTAGCACAATCTGAGTATGCATATGGCCTCTAGAGCAAGCGTCGCTCAATTCAGCGAGTAATGTGGGCCACTGTTGGGGCCACTCGCGTTTAATCATCTCTACAATGACGCGGGCAAGGGCGTCATTCAGGTGAGCAGTTTCCCAACCACCCATGTATAATAGCTTCATTGCATTTTCCTAAAAGCAGTAATTTGAATTTATTGGGATTTAATGATACAATTTACCACCCAATATCTTGCCACTGGACAATCACATGAGTCGCAGTCCAGGTTTTTTAATGTGCCCGACAATCACACGAAATGCCTGGTTTCAAACTAGGAAAATCCCTGTACTATGAAAACCAGAGCAAATTCTCTCTGGGACACTTCAAACCAGAATCAATTTAAAAAAACTAAAAAAAAAAGAAAATTTAGAACCCAGGACCTTTGCATTCAGCGCACACAGTGTGAACCGTTAGGTCACAGATGTCCTCTAACATATGAACATATAAACCAAATTTGTTTTATTTAATAAAAGGCAATACAAATTAATAATAAAACATTGATGGATATAATAGTGGATTTGTTTTTTATTTACAAGGAAGGGGAACTCACTTACAGTCATTCCTTGATTACATTGCATGCAGCTATGTCGAATTATTCAATAACATGGGAAGCGATAAGAAACCTATTCGATTATGTTAACTGTGGTGGTAGCCACGGTGAAAATCATAGTAATCAAACTAAAGTTGTCAGTTTCATGTTAAACATACCTTAATAAATAGCTTTTCAGCCTGTGTAATCTGAGTCCACTTGTACTTAACGGTGTGTTCCATAAGCTGCAAGCCAAAGTGTTTGACCACAGCCGAGTAATGAGTGCTACTAGCTAGCAAAAGGCCAGCTTGAGCACACCATGGAGAGTTCTCTTTGAAGCTGCAATCAAATATTCTTATTGAATCTGTACCATAAACCAAGACATAATTTTATATTGTAGGCGTAGTTTATTATATTACAATCAAAAGCATAACAAAACACGTTTTTTTGAATATTATACAGTTTTTTTCAAATGACAAAAAAATCACCCTGTATACATACAGAGCATTTTTTAATAGGATAGTATGGAGAAATCCAAAACCATAGAAAATACAAGGAAACTCCTAGGAATCATTAAGTTTTTTCATGTGAAAACAATTTGGCATAGTCAGATTTTGGTCAAGCGTGAGTTATCCATAAAAATGAATAAAGTTGATCAAAAATTTTTTTGGCGCTGATCGACTCAGTTTCAGTAAGGCTCATTTCATTGTATGGGACGAAAAAAATCGGGACAGTAGAAGTTGGTCAAATTTAATCAAATGTTTTTCATAGACTTTGTTTAACTGCCTCTGTGGCCGAACGGTTACCATACCGGACTGCCACGCAGAGGTCCCCGGGTTCGATTCCCGGGCCGGGAGAAATATTTGTATTGCCTACATTTATTTCTCTCGTGAGTTTGGGTGTAATTTGTGGTTGTCTATGTGTGTGTCCATGGCACCCGCGACACAGGGTTTTCCTAGTGCGGGGCTATGTTGAGTGTGTGCGTTATTATTATAAATGCCAAAATTGATTTCACAAAAAAGACTGAATAGTTCCAAAGACAATTTCCTTGTAGCTTCTAAGATTTCGGATTTTCCCATACTAAAATTTAAAAAAAAACCCTGGACATAATGTATACAGGGTGATTTTTTAATCAACACCCAAATTTTCTCTAGGCGTCAGGCATCACTTTTTAAAAGGTGGGTAGATACACACTCAACATAGCCCCGCACTAGGGAAACCCTGTGTCGCGGGTGCCATGGACACACACATAGACAACCACAAATTACACCCAAACTCACGAGAGAAATAAATGTAGGCCATACACATATTTCTCCCGGCCTGGGAATCGAACCCAGGACCTCTGCATGGCAGTCCGGCATGGTAACCGTTCGGCCACGGAGGCAGATGAGATATGCGTATCAAAATAATATTTCTGAATGAATTGCTTCTAAAGAATTTTACATTAACGTTCTAGTAACGGAGTAACCGAGTGGGTCGCGGACTGGTCCTTGGTGGCAAGATTTAACAGGTCAGTCGCGGATGACGAAGACCCAGTTTGTCACATGTCGTTTGGCCACTTTTTCGTGTTCCCATTCGCATCAATAATGCCTTGAACAATAAACCACCACGATGTAATAGTTTTAAATAGTGAAAGATTAAACAATGCCCAAATAATGCACGAATCACGACGAAAGTGTTCCATGTCGCAATTTGGGATTCATAAACATGGCTGTTACAAACGATTTTGGCTGTCAATACAAGGCTGTCAGACTATACCCAATTTACGACACTTTCATTTCTCTTCACGCTTAAGGACGTGATAGGCCAAGACCGCCCATGGAGAATGAAAAATATCCTCTTGTGAAACCCTATGGAAGTCAATACATAATTGTACTTCATTGTATTCAATTAATGACGGAAATTATTCTAATGAGCACAGCACAATCACTAATACAATTTGTAAATTTTGTTTATGAATAAGGGTGTGCTCGCGCGGGCCTTCTAACTTTGTGGAGCTGTATCTTAATATTACTACTATTATACTATTATTAATACTACGTGAGGGATACCAAAAGCAAAAAAACATGTATTTTATTTCTTCACCAAAGTACATGCAATTGTATAGCTCAGCAGTGGTTCAGTAGGCTATTGCTAATATTAATACAATTCAAAGTTGAAGTAGAGGCATAAAATTAATCAAAAAGTAACATTTTTGCGCTTATTAGAGTTTCAAGTACTTTCCTAGAACTTGATGATTTTACATATATTTCCATTTTAAATACCTATTTACTAGCGTATTTCCCTTCGTGAAAATTGCTATATATACGTAATGTTGAAAGGCAATTGAACAATATTTAATTACTTCACCTCACTCTTAAATGCGGTAAGCAGCCCCAACATGTGCACCGCATCATTCATTCATTCATCATCTAGATCATTATTTATTAGTATTACATACACTGATTTATAAATTTAAAAAAATTATACAGTGTTTTCACTTTCAGTTCCTCCATCACACTAAATATGAAGCAAAGTGAGACAAACCGTGAGGACCTGACAAAATCTTTGGGGAGTAACTGCTACATACAAGGGAAGTGACCTCAGCTATGACCAAATTATACTCAAGTTACAATCATATGGTATTTCAGAATGATAAAATATAGGCATTAGCTTTACACACTCACATGGTTGCAGATTGCAATTTCTTAAAAGTAAGGATACAAAAATCAGATTTTTACCTCTCACAAGCATCATAGGCCTGGTTGCGGGCCTCATGAGCAACACAGGAGTTGAGAGTGAGCTCCACAGCTCTGCTCAACTCCTCTGCTATGAGGGCCACCTCCCCGGCCACTTCGCCACTAGCTCCAACGTTCATTACGGCACGCTCTTACTCCTACAGTCAAAATAAATACAATATACAACAAAAGTTTAGTTTACATTGTGTGTGAACAGACATCATGTGGTAGCCATATCACACTTGCTGTGGCAATTGGACTTTGATGGTCATCTGAAAGTCAATGGGTACTACAAATGAAATGCAAGTGCTCACAAGGGCTATTTAAGTATCTAATAATTAGTGCCTGGTGTGATGCACTGATTTCGAATATTTTTGGAATTATAATTGCTTCTAGGAAATGAAATATTTTTTTCAATTTAAACTGCGAATATACATATTTCTCAATCAAACTAATGTTTCAGGCCCTTTATAGATGCCATGGTCATGTCTGACTACTGTCATTTAATATTATAAGTGTATTTTAAATTGTAATTATTAAGATCTTTCTGACACATATTTATATATAATAATAAAATTTGGTTACTTCTTAAGCATTCAGGACTTTGGCGGGGTAATGTGCTTCATAGTTCTCTGTAGCTGAATCATAGACTCATTTAATATGGCTTGCCATTGTTAAATTACATTTTCTTTTTTTGTATTGCATTGCATACCAAACAATAAACTAATTTTAATTTTTACTGCGATGTATTGTGACTTATGAAGTAAATTGACTTATCAGTTTTCAGGTAACCATACACTCTCTCTCTCCACAAAGAAAATTCTTTCATCTAATGTAGTTTTTCTTACAACATGTTGCTCAACACTGGATTTGAAACAATTTAATGTGTGGCCTATAAACAACTTCGAAAAAAAATCAATGGTAATAAAGAATTCTAGACGAGATACAAATACATAATTACTAATATACAAATATAGAATTAACAATCTACATATAAATTTATAAAGACAACAAAGAGAAATGACACTTTAAAATTATACACCTCATGTTTGAGTGTTAACACATCTTGTAGATGTCATCTACATAAAGAACTGCAAGAAACAGAACCGTACTAATACGGAGATGAATAGAATAAAATTATTGGTTGCACTATTTACCAACTTCTATAAAGAGGTATGATGCAGAAATGGATAGATAGATGATGCAATGCACTCCTCACCTGTTATTCTCGATAAAACTGTCTCCATAGGATTATGTATCCTTTATTTCATTTCTGAATAACAATACTGAAACAAATTCCACTTATACGCTATAGATATACATTGAGAGATTTAAAGAAAAATTGTTTGAACAGAACAAATGACATGCTATAACAACCGGTATTCAAAAACACAATAAATATTTAAATTTAAAGAAACTCACGCATTGCCAACTAATATAACTACAGACCAATTAATAGGAGGCCTTAGTTGCCTAAGTTCCTACACCAAATGTGTATTGGATACGAATTGAATTTTCAAAACAGAAAAAACCTCGTGTCGTGGAAAATGATACGAATAAGTAATCCATAGACAATAATGATTTTTTTTCACAATACATAATTTTTTTTTTAAATTTATTAAGGTTTTGGCAAAGCCACCAGCCTAAACATGAAGTTTAAATATGTTTCTGTAAATATGGCCGCCACAAAGAGGATAGTTTAGGGTAATATTGTTCTGTGGAGGATAGGCAATTTGAGGCGGCGTGCTTGGATTGACTCGGGATTCCTTAAAACGGGCGGATACGGGTATTTTATTTTGAGATTCGTATAATTTCGCGTTTTAATCTTCGATTAAGGCACAATAGCACTATCCTATTCCACTTTAAACTAGATTTCACAAAATAATTGAAAGTCAAAATAAAAACGACACTTTTCCCTCCAAAAGGTCCAGAGCGAATCTCACAATACATAAGGATGATTTTGTGGTATTGTTTTTCTCTTAAATAGAGATGCTTTGTGAATCGAATGTGAAATGCTTAGAAGATGGAAAGAAAAGTGAAAGTTCAATTTCAAGGGCCAGACGTCAGACTTTTAGGGTCGTTTCGTTCAATTTCAAGCACTAGAAATCATACTTAGGTCCTGACTTGAGCATTGAGTTCTGGTTCTGGAATACGACCCTACAACTAACATCTACCCATAGATTTATCTACCAACATTATAGATCGCATAGTGTTTCGGAATACCTTCCAAGCTTGACACTTAAGATTTAAATCCAACACTATGCCGCTTACGATAAGAACGGGGATTCGCTCTGGACCTTTTGGAGGGAAGTGTCATTTTTATTTTGACTTTCAATTATTTTGTGAAATCCAGTTTAAATTGGAATAGGATAGCGCTATTGTGCCTTAATCGAAGATTAAAACGCGAAATTATACGAATCTCGAACTAGAATACCCGTATCGGCCTGTTTTAAGGAATCCCGAGTCAATCCAACCACGCCGCCTTAAATTGCCTATCCTCTTTGGGGCGGCCATATTCACAGAAACATAATTAAACTTCATGTTTAGGCTGATGGCTTTGCCAAAGCCTTAATAAATTAAAAAAAAAATAAAAAATAAATAAGAACGGTCCAAAGTACAAAGTGTTAAGCTTGACGTGCTCTTGACAAATGCAGGACGAAAACAACACATAATAACAACACATTATTAAATATTCATCAACATTAGCTTATTAGGAGTTTAAAACACTATTTATTAGGCTTTGTTGCTTTTATAAAATGCTAGCATAAGTTACGAAATCGAAAATTTCCATAACATGATTATAATTTTTTTATTTGTTTTTTCACGTCTGTAGCACCTAAAAATCATTCTAAAAAATCGTTAACCCTTCAGACATTTCTCACAAAAAAAAACCAGCTCTTATCCAGCCCCGCAGTCGACGATATACGTGACTATTTTTGTTTAATTTAAAACGTCTGACTTTTGAAAGTTGAAAATAATGTTTAATTAACTACTATCAGAGGTGGCTTTACCGTATAAAAGAAAAATAAAAAAATGTGGCTATGGTTTTTTTTGTTGTTTGGACTGTGGTGAATTGGTGATGGGATGTTGTGACTGTGTTCTGCCAGCAGTTTGATTTGAAATAAACTTCAGAAAATATTTTTCACGAGATAGCGACTGCTAGATAACAGTATTTTGATTGTTTTTTTTTTAAAACAATCTCGACCAGTTAAAAAATACGTACTAGATAACGATTATGGAAGATGGAGAGTAAATTGGGGCAAATAGATCCATCTTTGGAGAAACAGTTGAAGGGTCATCGAAGTGCGATCACAGGACTTTCATACAACCCAAATGACCAACAAATTGCTAGCAGTTCCTTAGACAACAGTGTTTTGGTAGGTATTCCAGGATTAAATTCCATTTTAATTATTATATGATAAATTGTTTTATTTACCATAACGTCTGCATATGTTTTATAGTTATGGGACCTAGCTGGGACTATGCGTAGCTACAGATTCCGCGGGCATGACGAAGCTGTGATGGCTGTGACGTTCTCCCCGACCGGCAAGTATATGGCGTCGGCGTCTCGCGATAAGACTGTTAGGATTTGGGTACCAAGTGTCACAGGTAGCACTGGCGTGTTTAAGGCGCATTCTCAGACTGTACGCTCGGTACAATTTAGCCCTGATGGATCTAAGGTGATTATTTGTTTAAGTATACTCTTGGACACATAATTCGAGCCACCTCGCATTTTTGTCGTAAAGGGCTAGAATACATAAATAGTGTTATCATCGAAGAAAAAGTTTTCCCCGGTTTAGCAATTCCGAATTCCCAACAAGGACTTATGGAAAATACGTTTAGTATACTAGTTTCAAAATTGCATAATAGTTTTTAATCAATCAAACATTATTTAAGCTTAGGGCATTCAATACTGAAAATGTGTGATGGCTCGAATTATGTGTCCAGAAGTGTATTGAGTACAAGTATAAAGCTGGTAGCTGATGGACTACATGTCTGTGTGACACATGCAGCTGTGATCTACAGCATGCGGCCAGCACATAGTCGAAGCTGGTTTCAGTATTATACATCTATTTGGTAGCAGCCTAATCTGGGATAAAGCTTCCCCTTTACTCTATCATTCAACCATCTTTTTCTTAGGCATTTAATTCCTTCACCCTTTTCTTAGTATCCAAAAGCTGGTGATATACAAACAAACATCCACAGAAGTAATATGAAAACTTGTGCCATTAGAGAAATGTGGATGAGTGATTTGCGAACATGAGAGGCATGCAATGCATTTTGTTGCTGTTGCAAAAAAATTGTATATGTTACAGTACTATTGCACTTAGTTGTAAATGTACCTATTTCTGCTGCCAAGCAATAACATTAGCATTACTGTGTTCTGGTTTTGAAGGAAGTGAAGTTTGTGATTTAAAGCTCTGAGTTTCACAGCAACTGTTATGGATAATCATGTAGCTTACTATCACACACAGCACAACTTGTTCATCCCTTGGTTGCCAACTTGATATTACAAAAAGAAAAAATGTACCAATTGAGGTCTCATGTGATTTTCTGTGGGTCACAATATGAGTAAACATCTAATACCTGTAGCGGCATGTACTATGACTATAACTTCTAAGTTATATGTATACATATCTAGTAGCAATACCTCTTCCTAACAATGAAAGAAATCATTGTAATAAAACCTGGATATTGAAGACAGGTCATAATCCTTGGCAACTATGTGAAGTTCGCAACCTGTGTTCGGCCAGCATGTAGACTATGGCCTAAACTCTCATCTAGGATGAGACCCGTGCACAGCAGTGGTATATGTAGTGTGTTGATGATGTTGTTTTTCATTAAAATTTTAAATGTTAATGTTATGTGTTATGTTAAATTATAAATGTCCGTAGGAATTATACATAATATAAGCAATCCAAATTAATTTTCACACTTTATTCATACATAATTTTAATCAGTGTTTACAATAATATTTTCTTTGTTTCAGATTATAACAGCTTCAGATGATAAAATAGTAAAGCTATGGTCTAGTGAAAAATACAGATTTATAGCCTCTTTTGTAGGACACACAAATTGGGTAAGATGTGCCCGGATTTCCAATGATGGTTCCATCATAGCATCCTGTTCTGATGATAAGACGGCGCGTTTATGGAATCCGGATTCGGGGGTGCTAATAAATACTTACAAGGATCAGAAAGGACACGGGATGTGTTTAGCTTGGCACCCTTCTGGTTGTTACATTGCAGTTGGAACATCACGTGGGAATGTTAAACTTTATGATGTAAGGACTCATAGTCTAGTCCAGTATTATAGGTACAGTTGAGTATATTCCTTAAATTACTTATTATCAATTGATTCATTTAATAATTTCTTCTTAACATAATTTTTTTCCATTCCAGCATTCACAATGATGGGATTACAAATATATCATTTCATCCAAGTGGTAGTTACGTAATTACATCTAGCAGAGATGGTAAAATGAAGGTATAGTATAGATTAAGTTGTGATATGTCATATACGAATAAACCCTACATAAAATTCTATACCATTTTTGAGACATTTGAATGAAAACCAAGTCTTTATCTAAAATCGAAACATTTTATGGTTTTTAATTTTAGTTTCATGGATTATTTCAGATTCTAGACTTATTGGAAGGCCACCCTATATTCACCTTGAGTGGACATGAAGGACCAGTCAATGCTGTAACTTTCTCACCTGGCGGAGAATCGTTTGCTTCAGCTGGTGATGACAAATTGGTAACTATTAGATAAAAACAGTAACCAGTTTTTGATATGGTTGTGACCTTTTAAACAATCGGTTTAAAAAACGGTTAAACAATCTTTTTTTTGTTTTTAGGTAAATATCTGGAAAACAAATTTCACAGAGCTAGCAAATGATTTGAAAGAAAATGTGGCTCAGAATCCAACTGCATTAGGAACTGCCTCACAGACCTCCACTGCTTCTAGACCCAAGAATCAGGTTACTAAAAAGTTATGGTCATATTAGTATAGTGTATAAATGATTGGATGTACTCTCTTTATTAGTCATTATTTTATATCAGTAGTTATAGGCAACTTGATTGAAAATTGATTAAGGTCTCACTCACTATTATTATGATATTTATGTTATGTAGATTTTATAGTCACAATTATTGGAATACATTTATATTGAACTTGCATAGCTCTAAATTATTACTACTCCTTTCCATCCAGGACCTGTCAATGAGAACTGTCGCTACAAACTACTCCATTGCCATTCAGAAACTAGAGTTTCGCGAAAATTGTTTATTTAGTAGACACTTCATGCTCAAACGCTCTGCCTCTTACTAGTATTAGTAAACAAGTATTAATCAATTCCATCATAATCCAGGGTATAAGATCTTGGTACCTTTGTTTTCACAATGCCAAGATTCCTGTGTCTACATTTACTCATATGGATGATATAACAGAATCTTCACATGGTAATCAATCAAGTACAACACAGCATCCAAATGCAAATAGTACCCTGACTGAAGCTAGTGATAATACTCCAACATGGGCATCCAGACTTTACGCCACAACTCTGAACAGTTTCTTTAACAGGACTCACCCACACTCAGATTCTAGAGATGCTGAATGTCAATCGCCTACTTGGTTTTCTAATATGGCTCAATCAAGTAATTCTCCTAATCGCCCACCATTATCTGATGATCATCCGTTAGCTAGTGTCAGTCGTATAAGCCATATTCCTCATTGTCCACCAGTAATTTTGGCTAATGAACCCACTGGCAGTTGGGGTCACACAAATGAAACACCTTGTCATCCACTTTTGAATTCCTCTAGATGCCTATCTCATAATGTTGGCCATATTAGTCATATACCACGAGTTGGACCTCCAAAACCTGGAACCTACACAGTACCATCAATTATATCTCGAACTATTGGAACTGAAATGAGAGATGATCAAGAGGATGATATGTTTGGATTGATAAAATTGAAAAATAAAGATATCTGCTATACCAGTGGTACTATAGAGTGGGTTGGCAGGAAGAGAAATTTTCCAATTAACAGTGGTTTCAAATTACTGAATGACAGTCAAGGGCCACTATGGAAAAAATCAAAAAAAATTGACAAGAGCAACTTATATGGAGCAGACAATTGTGAAGATTGTGAGTGTGCTGATGTACTGCCTACAGTGAATGCTCTTGTAGACCATTTAAATGCATTACATGAAGCAGTGGATATTGTTGATTTGAGATTGAATACACTTGAAAGTGTTATGAGCACAAATGATTAATTATTTTTATTTTTTGTTAAGATTTGTTTTATTTATAATCTAGTGTAATAAATTAGTTGTTATTAAAAAGTTAAATAAAATTATCATTTTTGTGAAAATATTTATTAGAAATACTGTCATGACAATATTGTCATGACATATACAATATAACATCTATATGTGACGATCACAATAAGATAAAAGTATGATTGATAACTGAAACGATAGATATTAAAAATATAATAAAAAGGTGTTCCCACATTGAAACAATACATAACATAGGTAGAGTGACTTGTTAAAGTTGATATCAACAAAAATACATATTGTACACTTATCACCAAATTTGAGCAGAGAAAGGTACAAGTTAGTGTAAAAAATATTTTTAGGACTGTACAGCTATTGTGTGCCTACGTATGTAGTTTTCTTGCCTGTTTTTTTAATGACTTCTAACAATTGATCAGCGCTGAGTGTAGCCGTAACTGATACCTTCTGTTCTGGTAGGCTAATATCGATGTTATCGACGCCCTGTCCTTTCAGCCTGTTGAGCACCCTTTCTACTGCGCCAGAGCACCCTTCACACGTCATCTCAACGTTAAAAATGTGTGTCTGGAACAATAGATAATTTAAATTACTTACAGGCGACAAACGAACTTAATTAATGCTTATTTGGTATAAAGGATTGATAAACAAGTGACATTTGCATGTCATGAAAGTAAATAATTAACCGATGAATAAATAATTGAGTAGTTAATGTTTGTATTAAAATTTAATTGTACATAAAATGATCTTACCGATGACATTTTAGTAGGAAGACTATTAATGGTTGTTAATTTTTATATTACGTATATTATCACACTGCAAAGAGTAGCTAATTAAACTGATAGATTTTGCGGGGAAATTAAAGTTTTACGTATAGTCAAGCACAAGCATTCGTACGAATCTCGTATCACTGGAAGGAAACGTCAACAATGTCATTGTCATACGGTCAATGACCCTATATACTTATCTAAATTTATTTTAGAAAATAATATAAAAATTTAGTTAACTGCTATAGTAACAATATTAAGTTTCTTCGTTATAAAAACAAGTTAGTCAAAAAGCTTTGTAATTTTGTAAGTGGCTAAAACACTCACCGCGAAAAGCCAAGAGAAATAAGAAAAAAAAGTGGCTCTATGCTTGTATTTTTTTAATTGGTTTTTATGGCTTTGGGTATTTTGATGAGCCAATCTCTAGGATAGCAACTCACGGTAAAAGTTATCAACAACCAAATTCGATAAAATAAAACGAGGGTAGATGAAAAATATGCGATAAACTTTTATTTTTCGTTGACATCGTTATTATGTCGTCGTCAATAAGTGTTCTTTATTAAAATGTTGCGCTCTGAAGGAGAAGCGGAATGGGAGCGTAGAAAAGCGTATTTAATAAATTTTAGTAAATCATAGATATTATTATTAATAAAATCTATGATTGCATTGCCCTCGGGTGAGTGTCACCCCAATTTTTTTTCTGCGATATTTGAAATAGATAACCTAATTATAGTTAATTAAAGTATAAGTTAGTACCTACATGGATCGCCGTGGCTTTGACTATAATGTCAGTAGAGTTTTAACATGTGTGATTGTCAATACATTTATTATTCACGTATATTACTTCCAGCATTATCCCCAATACGTGAAGAACCCGGTGAAATAAGTTCCACTGCAGACGTCACAGCTCAAGTAGAAGCTGAACGTCCACTTCCCCATTTGATCATAGAAAGAGCTTATAAACGACACCACGACGATGAAAGCGACAAATGTTACGATAATTTTTTTAAAAAGATAATGATATATTATAAAAAGCACATTCTAAAACAAGAAGTTGACGATGACGCGAGCAGTTTTAATGAATCTTTAGTTGGAATCAACACAGCTGATGTAAATCTTGAAGGAGATTTTAGTTTCATGAAGTTCAAAAACCAGCGGCAAGAAGTTTACAGTGTTGAGGATCAAAGTTTGAGTTTTGATGATTTGGAGTCTATTGGTATATTGTTTTGAGCATATTACTAGAGAGTTTGGTGATAAAAATAATGTTTAGTTTATATATATTAATAGTTTAGTGTTTGGAGTATATTACTAGAGAGTTTGGTGATAAAAATAATGATATGAGTGATAGAAATCAACATGCTGCTGAAAGAGACACTGTTAAAAATCAACTGGGTACAAATAAAGATGGAGACTCAAGGATCAGTCAACAATTATTGAAATATCGTTGTGGTGGCTCTTCCAAAGCTACCAGCTCTGATACGGACATTAATTCAAAATCACGAGGTGATGTCATCGACAGTGATGCTACTGAAATACTTGAGCGTTTACAATATTCGAAATCGTCTAATGATGAAGAAAGTAGTACTAAAGTAGACGACAAAGAAAAAAACAGTGAACTAAGCTATAATTTAGGTGACAGTTGTGTTATTCCTGTAAATCTACAAAGTCTCACAGGATATATAACCAAATCTCGTTCTGTAGAAAACCTAACTGCTCCAAAGTCACCACTTAAACTAACTAGAATACCGGACATAAGTCATCTCTTAAATGAGAGTACAAGTGACGAAAGGGAGCGTCCGATAGCTTCATCCACGCCCATAGAAGAATATGACTTCTTAGAAACAATAGCTGAAGTGCACATGGTTTTGGATCAAGACGCTTTGAAATGTCCAGATCATGAAGATGATATTCTGCACAGTAATACCGAAAGTAAGAATTTATAAAAAAACTCATATAAGTTATATAAGTATAAGTCAAAACTAATTAAACTAATTATTTAAATCAAACTAATTATTTCATGACGAACAATTTACATTTGACCTTCTAATTGTGGAGCTCGCACTATACAGCGGCTTATGGCTTATTTTGATGTTGGGGCCTTCGGGCCCTCTAGCATTTCTCTTTCTTCTCATGTGTTACTTTTCCAGTAGGTACAAATGTTCATTATTTATTTTTAAAGATATTATTTTTATTTATTAGGTCTGGCTAAAAAGTGACCAATAGTCGGCTTACTGCCGTAGCGCCCATCTTGCCACTGCAAACATTCTGATGCACAAATGTGAAAATGTTATTTTACTTTTATTTTTTATAAGAATCTAACAAAGGTAAATTATAAAACTACATTAGTTTTAGTTTAAAACGTCATGTTAAGAAGAACACTATTATTTCAGGAAGGGAAGCTGAAAAAAATCACACGTCTCGTGAAGATACAAGCGACGTTGAAGAAGACAATAATATTCGTCACGAAAATCGTGGACATCCTGATCCTGAAATCGAAGTTATGAGAAGTGTACACACGTCATCACAAAGACTGTCCATAGAATGTCAAACTTTATCGTCTAACACTGAGTCATCTGTGCCAGATTTCAGCACTGCATTATACTTATCATTCGAAAGCATTAGAAATTCAAATAATGGCATGAATGCAAGAGAAACTTCAATTATTAATGACTATTTTCCAAGAATCAGTGCGATGGAAAGAATTTCTATAAATGAAAATGAAAAATTAAGAGTAGGACTCAAAAGAGTATTCAGTTTTCCGGAAAATTCTACAAAAAGATTGAAAAGTGTTAACACACAGACCAATGAAATTGCTAAGCAACGTAAACACGCATTTGTGCCGACTATCCACATGGCTCTTCTTGTAAACATAGTTACACAAACTGAAGAAATGCCTAAAACCAATATCGATATTCAAACCCAAGTCGATACGCAAGTTAAAACTGTACAAATTCAGACAGAACAAGCGGCTACAAATAATATAGAAATTTAAATTGAAATCCAGGAAGCAAACATGATTGATTCAGAATCACAGACTGATGATTTTTTAGAAGGACGCTGGCATCGTTATTGCAATTATTATGAAAATAACATAAAATTTTATTTTTTCTAATTATTTCTGACCTCTAATTGGGATTCATGTAATTTTAAGAATTTATTTTAGATTTTTTGTTTAGGCTTCATTTTTGAAGCACAACATTTTGCGATAATCATTTTGAGTAGTTGCATTAAAAGAGACACCTTAGAATAATTCTAAGTGAGACACAATACTACCACTACTACTACTACTACGTTACTACTGTAACTATTTACCGCCGATGCATATGCAGTATCAATTTAAGGACGGTTACCTATCAGTAGTCCAAAATGACATTTTCATAACCTCGAAAGTAGTTGTAAGAGGAAAATGTTTTTCTTTTAAATCTAACCTAACCTAACCGAACCTAATAGTGTCTTTGCGATAAACATCCAACATATCCTGAAAGAACAACGGTTTCGTTATGATTCGGTTTTCAGTGTAATGAAAATTCGAAGAAACGTTATTTCGGAAAGAAAATTCGAGTTTGTATTCGAGATAGGTTATTATTAAGGACCTTCGGTTTTTGGGTTTTTTGTCATTATTGTGACTTTAAGTCGGTAGTTGACAATCTAAGAAATAGTTTTTGTTAGTTTTTGATGTGGAATGATTCTTTAGCATTTATTATTTTTGTAACCTCCATTTTCCTTCCAGATAACAAATCAAATACCTTTTTTGTCAAGAATTTTGCCAATTACACCTAATTCTGACCATATTTTATTTTTAATGTTATTTTTTGTTTCAATATCAATATCATTGATTTTATTATACGATATAAATAAATATTCAAAACTTGTCCATATCATGTTTTCATTTTATGTTTTTTTCTTACAGCCCACTGCTGACGTATTTTTTTAAGTCGAAAAAATTCTAAATTCTCGGAGAAAAGTCTAGGGAAAATAAAAATACTTTTTTCTAAGGCTGAATTCCTGATATTTTTCCAATATTTTTCCTGTGATTTTCCATTGACATTGCATTGCCATCTGCCAAAAGTTGAAGTTACAGAACGAAAACGACGGAGCCAATGAAAAGGTTTTATTTCCGCTGATAGGACATCATTATTAAATCTCGTTTTTTCTAGTGGCTGTAGGTACAAGTTTAAATAAAATTCACGATAAATAAAAGTTCAATAGTTATTTCTGAACGTAGAGCACAATATGAGCCGTCAAAATTATATTTTTCCAATTTTTCGTGAATTTTCCGGAAAAATTTTGAAATATTTGAAAATTTTCGGAAAATTACCCAACTATATCTACAGTATACAAATAATATAATTTTTTTTAATTTTTTGAGGCTTTGGCTAAGCCAGACTACACGTGACAAACATAAAAAAAAATCTGTAGACTTTACATATAAAAACTATTATAGCTTTGTCTATGCGTACTTGTCAATGGAAGGAACCGTATGTCCGTGGATCTTATTATTTATCATAATTCCTCGAAAAATGCTATTATAACGATTACAAATATCAATATGTCACTTAGCGACAATCTTAAGGAGTTGGGCTGGTAATTATCCACGAATATTTTCATATATTTGCTTCCATGTGGCCTGTTTTTTCACTACAACATTGTACTTTTTTACAGGCACTTGACTCAAGAAGGTATCGATACTATTAGTGAAAATGGGTTAATACAGGATGTACATGTCCTTAGCAAAAGAGCTTTAGATGTGAGTATATAACCATTGCTAAATATTGGTACATTGTGCCAGTTTTGAGGTCAACAAATTGGTTGATAATTCTTGTTACAGTACGATTTAAGGGACATCGGGGACGTAGCTTTCCCAGAGGAGTTTACAAAAGATCCTTCTAATCTAGAGAAGCCTATAGTAGTGCAAATTCAAAAGATAAGAAATGTATCTGCGCCTAAGGCGAATGAGGAGTCTACATCGGCGCCTCGCATGTTGAAACTGACTTTGCACGACGGCAAGTCGGTGTGTACAGGACTAGAGATCACACCAATCTCAAGTTTGAGCATTAATACTCCACCAGGTACTAAGTTGTTGCTCAAGAATGAAGGCCTGGAGGTTTGCCATGGAGTCATTTGGCTCACTGCTAACATTATATCGGTGTTGGGTGGAAAAGTATCTCATATGATTGAGAAATGGGAGCTAAATCGAAGTTTGGCTAAGCACACCAGAGGTAATATTGATTTGATGAATTTTGTTGATGTTGCTTATTTATTTTGGGATAAATAAATATCTTACAAGGTCAATTACAACAATAAGTAAGCCTATAGTAATATAGAATGTTTAAATTTTCTATGATTCATTTTCATTTTTTGTGTAATATGTATTTGCAATAAGAGTACCGAGTAAGTTTCTTGTAAAAATATTTTTATGTGGATCAGAAAGAACTATAATTTCAGTTAAAGAGAGTGATTGAGAAGTTTTAATACAAATACATTCATCTACTTTCATTCCTTATTTTAAAAAAACTTTTGTGATTTTCTATTAAATTTTAGGTGGCATAGGTGCTGATGGTGGCCCCCCTCCATGGATTCCATTTGGACAAAGGCTGGAAACTCTGAATGATCGGCCGTTTAAGAGTTTGCAGGAGGCTAATAAACAGCAGCAAGATAATGCTGAGTTCGAGGCACAGAGGAAAGGTGCCATTGCTGAGGCACAGAGGATGTCTGGAGTCAAGAAGGTGGCAACATTATTGTCATTAAATAAGATAAAATCTATAATAATAATAATAATGCACACACTCAACATAAAGGAAAAAGGAAAGCGCTAGGGAAACTCTGTGTTGTGGGTGCCATGGATACACACATAGACAACCACAAATTACACCTAAACTCACGAGAGAAATAAATGTAGGTCATACAAATAATTCTCCCAGCCCGAGAACCGAGGCTGGGACCTCTGCGTAGCAGTCCGGCAAGGCAACCGTTCGGCCACGGAGACAGTTATCTCTACTAAAAGAAGTGTTTACCATGTAATATTGATAGATATAGCAACTAAATATAACTTAATATTATAATCCCTTTTCTTACTACTCGGTGCTATGCTTGCACCCCAAAAGAATCTTGGTGTCTCTTACTACATGTGAAAACCATTCTTACTTCATTTCTAAATTATACCATATTTCATATTTCAGGTATTTGGTGGAGGCACCAAACCGTTATTGGATGCAAATGTACAGAAAATAGTGGATGCTGGGTTCTCTGAAGAACAAGCCGAAAATGCTCTAAAATACACCAAAAACAATGTAGATAGAGCACTGAAAATACTCCAGAAGAGGGATAACTCTGAAAACAGAAATAAAGAAAAACCTCAGAAAGAACAAGACCAGCCGAAAAGAAAGGGCAGAAACAAGGAACCTAATGATGAAGATAGTATTCCAGCTAAACCAACTGGAAAAGTTTCATTATTTGATTTCTTAGAAGACAAACTGCCAAATGTACCAGATCGAGATAAAAACATTCGGCCAAATACATCAGTTTCAGATGATCGAAGTGATAGAGCACCCTCAAGCAGAGATAGGGATAGGAATAATACTAGAAACAATACTCGGTCTCAGGGATCTCGTTACGACAATGCCAATAGAAGTCGCCCTGATAATAGGGGTTACTACAATGACGGTCATCACAGAGATGACAGAAAATACCAAACTCAGAATGAAAAGCCACCCAGATTTCAGAGGAAACTGGAGGAAAGGAATAAGCAGCATCAACAGCAACAAGTCAATAATGTAGCGTACAGCAATTCATATCAGAGCCAACCACAAAGCCACTACAATGACAGAAATATGAGGAACGATAGTAAGCCTCACCAACAGAACTATCGCAATAATAGCAATTCGATAGATGGACTGGTAGATGCTACTGCAAATCTGAATCTTCTGTCGAATCAATCGCGACCTAATGACGATATTGAGCTACCACGTAGTTACCTGCCTCACCAAGATCAACAGTACCCTCAGAAGCAGGGATACATCACAAACCAAAACATGCAGGAGATTCCACCATTCAGACGGGGTACTGACGTGCACAAGTACCAGGAACAATCGTACCAGCAGCGGCAACAGCCACAGCCTAATGGGTACATAGAGCCGCAACAGAGCCCCATGTATCCTAATATGAGTTACATGAGCAGCGGTGGTTATGCGCCAGGTGGACGCCAGTACAGCTATGGCCGCGCGCAAGAGTACAATACTATGCGTGGTGCTGGACCTTTTTTGCCAGGATCGCTACTCGGCTTCCAGAACGCCGCCGTGAATGAGCAAGCGCGAGCTATGCTCGGCGTTGCTGAGATTAACTGGAAGGTTGGCGATCGCTGCCTTGCGCTATATTGGGAAGATAACAATGTAAGAGTTGTCATTTGGTTTACTGGTGTTCATTTTAAAAGTATAAGTACATTAACTGACTACATGTATTATATTTGCTGACTTTCTGTTACTTTCAGTTCTACGAGGCAGAAGTAACCGGTATATCGGCGAACACTGTTGTAGTGAAATTTTGCGCGTATGGCAACCACGAGGAAGTCCTCAAATCGAACTGCCTACCATTCCCCAACCAAGGTGAGTTTTTAGTTCTACCAATGCATCTACAGTTAAAAGTATCCCTTTGCCAATTTGGCTGCATAGTTGCGATTCTGTGAATCAGACTAAGTTTAATGTACCTTTGGCAGGGCCTGGGTCGGGCAGCGGCGCGGGTTACGCGTCTCGCGGTGGCGGGGTGTTCGCTGCTCGCCGTCCTTAGTGGTGGGGAGCGGCGCCCCCCCTGTGCGCCGCCCCTGCCGCCAGCTGACAGCCGCCTTGCGCCCCGTGCAGCCCACCGCCCCCGCCGATGTCAACTGCCCCGCCAGTCACAACGCCCGCATCGCAATCGCCGTCGCTGCCGTACGCCGTTGGGTACCCCATCGGTATCCCCCCCGGCTACGAGCACCTCTTCTCGCCGCAGGCGTCTTTGCCGGAGGCTTGCGCCCCATCGCCGCCGGTCGACTACGTCGAGGTCGCCGAACTAACGAACTACGCGTACCCAGTCTCGACCACCTACTGTTGCTGTGGGTGCGTTGCGTAGGACGGCGCTAACTTTAATGTGGGCTGATGTCGCCTGCCCGGGTGTGACTGTAGATAATGGACCTATTCCGAGGTGACAGATAAGTTTTTTAGGCGACGGCGCGTATATAGTTTAACTCGTAGTGCGAGTGGGCCTCAATGATTTAAGTGAAAATGCAAATATTTCCAAGACAGTTAGTTTAAAGTGCCACAACATAATCAAATTTGGACTCTTGGCTCACGGTTATTAAATTGCAACAGCTGGTGGCTCTAGTACTTGACGGCCTATTAATTAGTAATCGGTGTCGTCCTCTGATTGCAGTAGCCTCTACTTATACCCCGATTATATAATGATATATCTGGATTGTATATTTGTCACTGCTCACTAAACTCTGGATGCTTGCAGAGCACCTATAGAGTTGAATGAAAAGGCTGATGATCGTATCATGTGCTGCCTGCAAACTGCAAAGGGCTCGCGCGGGGTCGCGTAGCTTCCAGTTGTTTTATAGGTTACTACTTAAATGATTTTTGATATTTATTTATTTTTACATGTTACATTGTACGGGTGATCAGCGATTATGAATCTGCCTGCTTTACTTTGATGCGAGGGTAATGTTGTAAAAACTGTTAGACCACAATTGGGCATGTATGTGAATGTGGTAAATGCACCCTGCTACATTTGTTATATCTGAAATGGATGAACTGTTGCGTTTATATACTTGTTGTTGGAAGCTCTGCGCGACTCGTGTCGGCGATAGATCTAATTAACTGCGTTCTAAATGTTTGAATATTAGGGAAATAACGTTTAATGAAGATGTAACTCTCATGCGATAGCATTAATTTATTGTCAGTATGTACGTATCGTAACCACATCGTAGCGTGTAGCTTGTATAAGTGTATTTTGTTGTACTTTAGCGCGAAACTTGTAATATATTATTTTTGGTTTGATAATGAGATATTGTTTGAAAAAGTATTTGTTTTTACTTTAACCACTGTATAATAATTATATTAATTGATGAATTACGAAGAATCACCGATTACGTGTTATATCTTTTGTTTTGTCTATCGAAATGTTTACATTTTAGCGGATAATTCTTATTCTTGGATATTGGCCGAAACATTTTACTTACTATCACCATTAAAGCGTATGTACTACTCGCGTGGATTCCCTCTTACATAAATAATATGACAGACATAATAATCTTCATAATAATTTCTTAAATACGTCCATGGGAGTAGTGTTTGTGCCAGCATATAAACTAAAAACTTTTATTAAAAATCTTACCCGTTCAGTAGCAGCTTCATAGGTGTTTGGGGAGTTAAAGCCTGTAATTGTTAACCCGCATAGACGGACACCCGTGTAAAAATGACATTGAATGTCTTCACTGGTTTTCTGTTAAGGTATCTTTTTATTAACAAAAAGCTAATAAAAGAAATTTATTTCATTTATTTGTTTTCATTAAATCTTACTTACAGTTATGTCTGTAGCATTTTTGGAGTTTATGTTTGAACTTTTACTAAAAACTAGTACAATAATTATATTATGCAAACTTAATACTTTTGTAGATCTGACTGGCCCTCTGTGAGAACTGAGTGAGCACCCATTAAGTTATTTTTCTATAGTTTCATCTTTTTACAAATAGAAAGATTGGTTTCTACAATTGTTCTAGAACTTTTACTAAATGACTAACACATTATAAACATTTTACAGGGGGTGCTCACTCAATTCACACACACGTAAGAAAAAAAAAAGGAAGATGTGTTTTATAGGGTATGGTCAGCACGTTTCATACTGCAGCGTGCAAAGTATCGCACTCTGTATAATATAATTTACGGAGTATGGATCAGGGTTGTTGCTGATGCACTTTTATCACACATCAGCGGATGCTGATATTATTTATTTAAAAAAACAACGAAAAATATACATCCTCACTAAATCTTATCTACATGAAAAAGCTTTCTATGTTTTTGGTATTGTAATAAAATATTATTTCAATGATTTTGTGATATTTGTAATATGAACAAAGGAATCAATCTGCCTAGCTTAGTCGTTGTGGAGTTTTATCAAAGTTCTACTCTAAAAACAACACATGAGCTCAGCTGCGCAGCATTTTCGGCTAACAACCTGTTTCTGGAAGGTTGTAAATTGTGCATGCGTTTTGGGTCATATCACGTTGAATATCAGCATCGATGAACGCGGATGCGGATGTCTTAATTCATGCAGTAATTCGCAACAACCCTGGTATGGGTGCAGTGATGTAGCGTGCTGACAAGTCTAACTTAAAAGTGTCTAGTTACTGCCATTATTCGTATTGAAATTGATGAAGGGATGAATCGAGGAGATTGCCAGCAGCGTCTCCCTGTATTGTATATCCTGACCCGGTAACAGTAAATCCTACGTCATCATTACGTACAGGCCGAAGCACATAAGGCTCAATTTATATTGCGGCGTATGTATAACGTACAAACTAGATCCAAAAATCCCGTCACGGGGTTTCCGCAGCATTCTCGCGCATGCTCGAGAATGCTCGAGCATTCCCGCGAATACTCGAGCATTCCAGCGATCACCATTCCGTTCCGCCGCAATGTAAAATTGAGCCTAATGTGGAGGAAGATCAAAGTTACTAAACTCACTCTATATGCAAATCGAGAGTGAGAGTTGTTATTTTTTTCACTGCTAAACTTTTCCCCAAGCATATGAAATGAAACAGTAAAATGAAAAAATTAAAATCTTTTTTTGGTAGTCCAAGTCGACGGAGAGAAGAGGGTCGCCTTGAATTGCCGCAATCAGGCGACGGGATGCTGCGAGGTATTAAAACGAACAATGCAACACAATCTATATTCTACAAGATAAGGTTACATTTTTAAAAATAAAAGTAGAAAGAAAATGCAGCAAGCGGTGGCGGGCGGGGCGTCGAGTTGCAGCGAGCGCACTTTATAAAATGTCATATAATAGAATAATAATATATTCTCTACTAAATGAAGTATACTTTCTTATAACAAAAGAGCTAAGCGCAGCTCGTCCACTCGTGGCGCATCCTGTCGTCGTCGCCAGCTTGTGACGCCACGTAATGCAAAGTTTAACTTCGCACACCTCATGGAAGAATGGCATAAGTGGAGTTACGTCAAAGACGTTTATTGCTCGTTTAGATACAGGATAATATAACCCACACCCTCTCCAATTCTTGTAATTTAGAGTTAGAAGAATTGGAGAGGATGTGGATTATATTTTTCTGTGCGACATAAAGCTACGTAGTGTGAACTTGTAAAAAGCAAAAATGCAAATAATAAATAAAGTTATTATTTCTTCTCAGGGGAATCTACGAAATATGATTGATTGGTGGTATTTAGCTATTTGTAGATTTGACATGCAAATATTAAATAATAGTACAAATAGGATGATCTCGGTGGCTCAACGGTTTGCACCGTGAGCGCTGGCTAAAAAGGGTTCGAGTTCGACTCCCGATAGGACCAATTTGGGAATGAACTTTGAAAATGGTTTTCTGGATAGTGCTCTGGAGTGAATTCTGTTTCTCTTGGTCCCGGGTTCCATTCCCAGTAGAACCAATTTGGGAAATGAACTTCTCTAAATTTATTATGATCTGTGTGTTTCGGGTAGTAGCCGATTGGATTCCGTTGCTCTGGTACTCACAGTGGATACAGCGAGTTCCCTAGTTTGAGTGGTTTTCTGACAATAGAACACCCAAAATCTAAGTTACACTTTACATTGCCCACACGCTGCGACACAAGCTGCCTACGAGAGAATCAACTTTACACTTTTGTTAGAAGAAATGTAGGCATAGTTAGTAAAGAACATCGAGTACATAACCAGAAATAGAGACGAAATGTTATTTAATTTGTTTGAAAACTATTCTGCCAAATTCTGACAACTGCGCTCCGATTGGTCACCCTGAATTCCAGACAGTTGACGGGTGTCGTCAATTGTTTGACTTCAATTCGACCAGTTTAACTTGAGCTTGCTATAATGGACGAAAATTGAAAAATTACATATTTAATATTAAATTACCGATTAAACGTGATTCCGTTTGTTTTGTAATTACCTAGATGTTTTGCTGTTTTTCCCACACCATCGAATGGTACAGCGCCCCATAGTTAGAGATATTATCTTTATTACAATAAAGACAGAATATTTTTGGAATATACGGAGACGTACACGCAGGTCAGTTTTTGGCGCAGTACTATTTCAGCTTCCTAATTTGTGATTTCAGTGCAAACGAGAGTTGATATTTAAATAAAAGTGATATAAGGCCCATTTGTCTGACGAGTTGCCAGGGTTGGATGGCCCTTATTACGTGTCTATGTCTGGTTATTATACTTGATGGTAGAGATATTAGGTATTTTATAAAGGGTGTAAACGCAGCTCGGCGCTGCACGCCGCTACTTGCTGCACCTTCTTTTTGTTTTTTCTTTTTTTGTTTACAGAAACATAACCTTATCTCGTAGAAGATAAGGTTTATGTTGCACTGCTTGTTTTAATGCATCGCAGCATTGCACCGTCTAGCTACAGCAATTTGACGAGAAAATTTATATTTTGAGTCGGAGACGAAAATCACATAAATCTGGTCATGAGATTACTTCATGTGACACAGTGGAATTAAATGATAGTGTCGTGTATTACGTTAACGTAATTTTTCATGTCAAGAAAATTAATTTCATTATAAAAATGACATCAGTTGGGCGTGGATTGTTTATTAGTGAGGGTGGATGAAAATGGTGTTACGCGACTGCTACATTGCGTTCTTTTCGTTTGGTTTATACCAGGAAGGTTGGCCATGAGTGATGACTGTTATTTAATTAGCTAATTATGATGCAAGGTGCGTCCATTTGTTTGTGAAGGGTCCGTATTGTATAGGGTGTGTTTCAGGAATTATCCTGATGCTAGAAAAAATAAGATTCCGTAACTAGCCGTGAGTTACCCAGACCAACTACACGGTGCTAGCTATAGCATAAAATAGAGCGTACATACTCAAAAAGTAATAATAGTGTGCCAAACAACAAATTGCCTGGTCTGAAACTAGACACTTCCCAAAACAATCAGCCCAGAAACAATTTAGAAAAGATCATTTTCCTATTTGGTCCTACCGGGAATCTAACTCGGGAACTCCTCATCCAGCGCCCACAATATAAACCATTGGGCCACAGAGGACGTGAATAATAAAATAATAATTTGTAAATCATAGATTTCAAGCCACTAGAAATATATAGTCAGAAGATCTATCAGTTTCAAGAAAAGAGGTGGTGGTGATTGTAATGCAAACGGGAGTCAACGACACCTATGAATTTATTTACACCAAACAAAACTTACTTACAAGTTTTGGAAGCGCGTCGTGCTGATAAATGTAGTATATGAACAAGCCGGTTATGGAAAACACAAACATAATGGGTAAGTCGTGACATCTTAAAGAATTTGATTGTAGTGCAACTTTAGGACTGTTTTTGTAACACCTAAAGGCGAGTCTCGCCCTTTTTGACCCAGATCGTAAGCATATAAACAAAAAGTACCTGCCCGTGGAATCGGAGCCTTCCTTGCGGTGCAAGGAGGGGCGTTGCGTGGCACAAAGTAGCCTGCCTGCCATGCCAGTGCGAACTGTCCCACCGAGCGCGCTGCACCTGCCTTCTTTGAAGCCGAAAAAAATACAACTAACAGCTACTAACTGTGAATGAATCGTACTACAATTTGCTAGTGACGTAATAAGTAAGAGTGATGATAAAGTGAAACCGTTTCATCGTGGTAAAATAACTCCGATTTCGCGCCAAACGCCGTTAAACAAAAAGGTAGGTATGGCATGGCTTGTATTTCTTCGAGGTCGCCTTGACAACTTGTTGTTGCTCTGCGAGAATAAGTGCGATTCATTTTCTTAATTTTACTTTGAGAAAAGTTTTTATTAGTTATAAATGTATCACGCGTAAAGCCTCGTTTGAGTGTATTGCCAAAATGTTTGGTGTAAGATTTCATTCATCAACCTCAAGTCCACCTACAACAAAGAGGCCTTATGATTTCAAATAGACCTTTAGATAATAGTACTGTAAATCAAAGAATTCAAGGAGATCATTTATTTATGAACTTGGTCACGAAATATAAATAAAACATTTGGATTAGTTCTTATTCGACACATCACTTAAAATATAAACAACCGTAAGTGCGTTTGTCTGCCTGGTTGATTACTATATGTACATATAAGATTAGAAGAATGTCGATCAATGTAAACCAAGCTTATTATTATTATAGCTTTCACTTACTATCTGTGATCAATTAGAAGAGAAGGGATCAGATGGACCTTGCTTATCTGCGTCACCTTGAGCAGCGTCCGCACAGGTCTCGTAATACTAGCCTCGCACGGGCACGCTTACGTTCTTGTTACATGCACGATGTCGATGACACACATACAGAGGGCCACACTTCGACTGTTTCTCTAATGGGTGTTCAGTATTATTTTACATCTACATTTTTGGATCGTTATTTGCTATTGGTAGGTGTACTTACAGCAAGTATTGTACTCAATGATTTAATGATGTCATGGAAGCGCGTACTCTGTGGCTATAGCTGCACGCACGGGGTACCTACTCTTGACGCTATCATTACGAAAGTGATAAACAATTTTTCGCAAATACAACAAACAAATACAACTTTCTCTATTCTACAACAATGACATAATATTGTAGAAATTTCATCATTCATCATCATCATTTCACATTGGAAAACGTGCCATTAAATGTAGTAAGCTATTTACACAATGTACGAAATCGAATAGTCATATAACATAGTAAGTAGGTAACGTTATTGTTAACTGATCAGTACTTCTCATGAATTTACACTGACGATGATGGTTGCAGCTAGCGACCGCGTGAAATTGTGTGCAAAATGTTCGTTCTTCTTGTGAGCGCTAGTTCAGAGCTAGAGCGCAATTTGCTATACAAAGTTATCAAATATTTTACATTGCAATAAGTTTACAGTGTCAATAGTCTGTATTGAAAATTATAGTTTTAGTAGTAGTCGGAAGACTGTACAATTTACCATACAAAAATTGTCAAATAACTTACGCGGCCTCCAGGAGTCTATACTACCTCAGCTCTAATTCACATTTTTCCCGTACTAATACGATTCATTTTGCTTGGGTGGAGCGGCTGGCACAGTGGCTTTATTTCAGAATTCATTTTTTACAAACGAAATTCAAGGCCATCTGAATCTCGTATAGTATACGTGTTTTATTTCGTTCAGTTGATATAAATAAAATCATTAGTACATGTAAAGTACCTATTGTATACAGCGGTTTTCTTGTTGAATTTTGAGGTGAGTTTGAGTTTTTTTTTATATCGTGAAAAGTTTTAGGAATCGTGTTTTTACACCGTATAGTAATCATCCTCCATTCCATCCTCAATTTTAATACATATTTTTTTACAAAGTTATTGATTCAACACTTTCACTGTTATGCGGAATCAACCAAAGCCATATGCGGTAGTATATAGGGCGCACTATAAGTTTCCGGAACTGGCCATTTACATAAACAATATTTAAAAAGTAATTACAACATTTGAAAATGGAACCCTTTGGCTGTAGAATACAGTTTGTTTCATCTGACTGTCACTTATTTTTACATTGTGGCGTCATTTTAGAAATTGGTTGTCTACATCACCATGGATTTAACTAGTGAAAATTTTCTTAGTATGATTTTCTACGACTTTAAGGGTAATTTAACAGCTCAGCGGAGCTTCCCTCGGCTTCAAACTGCTTTTGGCGATGAAGCACAATGCAAGACGACTATTTATAGCTGGTTTGCAGAATTCAAACGCGGTCGTGTTAATCTCAGTGACGAATTACGTGATGGTCGCCCGTCCACTGCTGTGAACAACAAAAACATCGATGCTGTGCGCTGTGTCATCAAAATAGACAGGTATGTCACATACCTTGAGATTCAGGCATCTTTAGGCATAGGCATGAGTTAAATACAATCATTACTACACAAACATTTGGGTATGAGGAAGCTGTGCGGTGGATCCCACAAGGTTTGACTGAGGCTCAAAAACGGATCGCGTCACTTGGTGCAATGCCATGCTTACCAGATTCTATGAAGGGGCGTCAAATTTGGTGTGGGACATCGTAACAAGTGACAAAACATGGATTTATAGTTACGATCGCAAAACAAAGCAGCAATCGAGCGTATGGGTCTTTCGAGATGAATCGAAACCAACCAAAGTGGCGCGCGTGCAAAGTGCCTCTAAGCGGATGATTGCTTCTTTTTTTAATAAAACTGGACACGTGGCTACTGTTGCTTTGGAGAATCGTTGTACCGTGAACAGTGAGTGGTACACGACCATTTGTTTGCCGGAAGTTATTGAAAAACGCCGTAAAAATAACCGTAAACGTCGTATCATCTTGCACCGCGATAATGCCAGTTCTCACACGGCCAGACAGACAAATGAATTTATGAAGGTGACAAACGTTGACCTTATGAGCCATCCCGCGTACAGTCCCGACCTGGCACCTAGTGACTTTTATTTATTTCCAAAATTAAGAACTAGTTACGCAGTCAACGATTTTCATCACCTGAAGAGGCTGTCGAAGAGTATGGAAAATATGTTTCAGAGATTGTCACGGAGGAGTGGCGTAAATGTTTTCAAAATTAGTTCATTCATATGAAAAAGCGCATTAACGCCAACGGAGAATATTTTGAGAAACAATAAATTAATTTCTGATTATTTATAGTATTTTTTTCTTATTCATTCCGGAAACTCATAGTGTGCCCCATTTTAACATGATAAACTCATGGTAGCGGTATTGAACGGTAGGAAAGTATAAAAAAAATTGTATTATATATATTTTTATCCTTAGTGCAACTGTAAAATAGCAGGTGAAACTGCAGAACATCGAAAACAACAGCACGACCAAACTGTATGCCGGTTGCTCACAACTGTTGATTCTTCATTCTATATTTTTAAGTGCATCTTGAAGTTATTGGAGTACGGTGGATTTTTGTGGAATTACAGATATTTTGAACACATTGAAACGTAGGTGTAATTAACCACTTGGGATGGGAAGGTATTATATTTTTGGTAAGTTTGAACGTTTCATTTTGATACTGACTGTACTTCGTTTGTCAACTTCGGAGTATGGTGGACATTCCAATACATGCCTTTGTGTAGCGAATCAATACCAGTGTGACATAGAAATGCCCACTTCCAAGAAATTTAAACATTGCACATTTTGGACTCGAACATAAAAATTGTTCATGTTCGCTTTCACATGTTTTGGTTGTTTATTTGGCAAAAAAACTTTAGTTTTTTTGTTTCTATGCAGAGTATTCATTGTACAAATTAGTAATTCATTTATTTTTTTAAGGTACCTACACATAAAGAAATATAAACTACGAGATTTAGATCCGAAAAAATAGTTTCATTTTCCACGTGTAGCAATTGGGGAATGTAAGAACTCGATAATAATTACTAATAATTGTTATAAAAAGAACCAACTTCAAACTTTGCTTATATGTAGGTACATACAAACTGAAACTAAAAGTTAAAAAAGTTAACAATCAGTTACCGGATATTGCGCGAAACCGGATTCATTCGCTAGTTTGGCACCCTTAGAGGTGGAATGTTTTTTTCAAATTTGAATGGGACCAATACCTCTTTCCAACAAAAAAAGAATCAATACAATCGGTTCACAAATCCCGTAACATACACTCAAAAGTACAGCTGAATTGAGAACCTCCTCCTTTTTTGAAGTCTGTTAAAAAACAAAAAAGAAATAAATTGTTTTTTATATAAAAGAGTGATTGACATCAAATTATTGTTAAACCCAAAAAAAGAATCAGCGTCTTAAAGGTGATAGGTTATCTCCTATGTCAAGTTCCGCATAGTGGTGATGGTATTTGTCACATTTAAATTTGAAGAAAATATTCCACATCTTAGGGTGGCAAACTAGGGGATGAATCCGGTTTAAAAAAATTAACGAACTTTTGAGGTCGGTTTTAATATAATATAATTTTATTCCTATGGTACCAATTCTTTGCCTTTGATCAAATGATGATACCAATTCTTTGTCCTTTTTGGGTGACCACAACACCAAAAATTTATCACAACATATATGTAAATTGGAATGTTCCTTGACTTATTGAAACTCGAAGTTATTAAGAAAAGCAAGAAATACAGTTTAATCACATTATACAGCGTAAGCGGTAGAAGATCGGATGAACGGAAATATTTTAATGTATTTACCTTTATTGTTCATAAGTGTATACTCGTGGTAACGAAATCGTTCTTCTACAGTAATTGAGTTTGCGCTGTCTGTTATATTGCATGTAACAAAAAAAACTTACAGCTGAGTTTTGTACTTTGTCTAATTACTATAAAGATCATCCAGTTTAATTTATTGGAGGTAGACGGCGTTTTTTTTTCTATACCAAAGTAGGTATACTTAGTTTTGAAATTTCAATATCATCTTTGTGGGTAGTTTATAATAAAAGAAAGACACCACAAGTGCCATCAAAAAGTTGACGATAATTGTTTAAGCATTGACGATAATTAAACAAATAGAATTTTTTATGAATTTAATTAATTACAATTATTTTAAAATACGAGTGTTAAAATGAAGAAAACTTTGAAAATTCTGAATAAAACATCAAATACAAAAGAACCGACTGAAAAAAAGAAACCTACTTATTGGAGGTGAGACATTTTTATATAAATGATTTTAATAATTCCATTCGGACTGTTCGTTCCACTAGTTGGAACCATTAGGAAGGATTTTCAAGTACAAGATGTTCTCACTTAGATGGTGGAAGCAACGATCTTAGTTTTAACAAGTAATTTTTGAACTCGTGTCCCCATTCACAAGTTTCGATAAAACCTCTTTAAGGAAAGGACAATGCCAAACAACTTTGATTATTATGTAATTGTTTAGATCATAGTTTCCCAAAGTGGTCCCTATCGCACCCCAATGGGTGCTGAAGAATCTTAGGTTAGGGGTCTCGGAAACAAGTCGATGCTGTCCAGGAGGTGCATTAAAAAAAACCTATATTATCTATATTCTATGTATAAACTACACAACATATATTTATATACTTTTTTCCTTGTGATTTTTGTATTAAGTTAATTGTTTTTTGTGATGGTGGGTGTTGAAATTTTTTTATCTTGCCTAAATGGGCGGTGAGCCAAAAAGTTTGGGAACCTATGGTTTAGATAATTCATGGCAATCGAGAGTGTGCCATATGTCACTGCGATTCAATAAATGGTATACATGAAACAGTTTATTGGTTTACTTTATTTTTAATTTACCTTATTAATCGTACTTTTCTATGTAAGTTTGTCTATTAGTCTATTAATTCTATTAGTTATTTCTACGCTACAATCAAAAGGTCATTCATGTGCTGCTTTTTGATCGAATTGTTTAATGAGTAAGTGGGTGTTCTAGAATTTGCCGCGAACACAATTATTACGTAGGTACCTCTCGTAATGTTTCCATTATACATTTTTAGTATTATCAACGAAAACAATAATAAACACTTAGATTAAATAAGAGTGGGTCAAGTAATACAAAATAATGGCTGGACCTCTCCAACTACAAGCTACAACCTACGTTTACACAGCCATTAATTAAAGGCCTAATTGATTTGGCCCTACTTAGAGGCGTAATTAATTGGCCTTTCCAGCCTTTTAGTTTCTGTTGAGATTCTTAATATATAGTTGTAAGTTCTCGTAGAAAGGAAAGCGAGATTGTTTAGCTATTTAACTCCGTGGCTGAATAGTTGCCGTGCTGGTCTGCCACGCAGAAGTCCCGGGTTCGATTCCCGGTCCGGGAGAAATGTATATCGTCCATGGCATCTGCGATACAACATTATGTGCATCTACACATAATGCCCAGGAGAAGATTGTGTAACAAGTATTTACTTGTTATATTGGAAACTAACGAAGCTAGTAGTTCATCCGTAGATATGGAAATAAACATTTTATTTCCCCTATATTTCTCTATTTTCCTAAATATATATAAGAACTGTCTAGCTTTAGGTTATACGTAGTGTTAGCGCTCTGTACTTTCCATTCGTTTCAAAAACCGATTACAATATAAATAAGTTATGTGAGATCCGCGATTTCAAGTGTTGTTTGCTTAACTGTGAAATATAGATTTTGGTTCTATGAAATAAGTAGGCACGTAATTAATGCAATATTGAAACTGTAAATTAGAAATGGCATTATTTTATTTCATTTGGTATTTTCTACCACATAAAACGAAAAATTATTCGGAAAGACGATACCAGCGGCATAGAGCCTAAACCTGTTTTGTACGGTCGGACACTTTTGCGAGTGGCATAAACTTAATTTCAAGTTCTTTTTTATTAAAGTAAATGGTGTTGCTGTTGAACACTACGTAGTCCAGAGGCAATGATGCGATCTACGATTGAACGAGTTCGCCGAGAAAAACCTATTCCGTCGCACCTTAGACATTTTGTGTTGTATGTGCTCGGAAAAATTTCATTCCAGGGCTGTGCGCTTAATAAAAGCGCTTAGTACGCTTAAAGGGAATATCGACAAGACAAGGGTGATATCCCACCGCCGTACCTTTGAGTGTAAGTGCCAAACCTGACGTGATCTTGACCCGAGTGTTGTTTGAATTTGTTTCAGAGCCAGTATGGGCTATGGAGGTGCGATGGACAGTTGCGGTCGTTGCATGAAGTTCTCCCTCATTTGTATCAATATTGTCACTTTTGTAAGTATTATGTTAATATATAAGGTTAATTTATATTACACGAGACATAAGTGTGAAAATTAACGAGTAACATATCACAGAATGAAATACCGTTAGAGGCTTTATTACAAAAAACTAATTGGGACTTAATGATTTATTTTAAGTGCGGGTAACATAATAAAATAACACAAACACAAGCAATGTTCTGTCAACATTCAAGGCGCTGAACGGCCAGAGTATTTCGTATCTTAATACATATTTACAGAAAAGTACAACAGTGCAGAAAGAAATAACTGACTACAATTAGGGTTACTTATGACCGAATGGATTTATGAATATAAAGACGTACCGTTATCTTGAACATCATATCTTGGAGTAAGCAGAAACAAGTACCTATACCTTCCTCCCAAGTCTTTTTTGCTTACTCCGTCGCACCACTCTCCTTAATTGTTGGTATTTTTAATCTAAACTTTTTAAGAGTAGGTAATAATTAAGGCAGAGATATACTCGATGGGCAGAAGTCAACCATTTTCCCCGTTTTTATCCACATACGCATATAATATTGTGCTCGTTGTTGCTCTAAAAAGGTACCTACTAAGGTCATTACAAATGACGGTCGAGATATGATCGCAAGAGTTTTCATTTCCCGAAAACACAGAAGTAAATGAATATACAACAGCGGTACAATGGGCAATGACGTCATCATCGGCGTTTGCCGAACAAAACTACCATCAAAGTCCGGCCAAATTCATCATAATAATTTTTACGAGGTTGACTCATTTAGATCGTATGGTCTAGTTTGATGGCGTTGCGGGGAGTGTGAAGAGTTCTTTTACCCTGCTTCAAGATTTTCTTTTTTTTTTGTTCCAAGCGATTATTCTTATATTCTTATTATGTCTGCGTTACTAAGTAATAAAATAATATATTTATGAAAAAACTAAATAAATAACCTCGCTAGATTATGCCTGCAAGAGAAATCAACTGCGGATGTTCCAGGATATTATTTAATACTTCATTATTATTTTATTATTTCCATAAGAATAATATGTATTTTTTTATAATACCAAGTAGCGGGAGGAACAAGTCGTGCGTCTAAATATGCCTGTAATTTCACCACCATCCTTACACTTCTAAACCGGAACGCAGTAACGCTCACATTACTGTTTGGCGGCAGAAATAGGTAAGGTTATGGACAGGCGTGTACCATTAGGTGTACGACTTGTTCGTCCCGTCACTTCATATTATGAAAAAAAAGGTGCTCTTTCACAAGGAGCTCTACAAACTATAATCCACAAATGTGTAATCAAAAGTGCTGGAAAACAATATAAAAAAAGTTGTGTTTGCGATCCCTACCATTCAGTAATAAAATAAGTAACATTTTTTAAGTAGGAGGCAAATGAGCAGTAAACATGCCCTGGATTGAGGTGAATAGCTCGTTCAAAAATTGGAGCACTTTGTACGACCATGTGAAAATGTCGTAAATACTTTCATAGATTTCTGGAAGATGGCGCTACGGCTAAACAGTCGTTGAAAACCACAAAGATCCGACAAAACAAGCACATATGGAAAAATTTGTGAGGTTCGCTGGTTCGTTCCATGACTTAGCTAGAAGACGTCGGTTCGAATCCGACCGAATCGAAAGAGTTTTTCTAAGTGTTCGATCTTTGTATAATTTTAACTCAAACATACCCTTAACCTTAACTTCACATGCGAAGTTTTACTTTAAGCTTGAAAAAAATGGAAATTCGGGGAAAACGAAAATATTTATCTTTCTACTACCAGATTAATAAAAGGTCTGAAGGAATACTAGAACCTTCATGTCCCACCCTCCGGACCAGAACCAACGTAGAAAAGTACGTCAGTAATTAATTACTTAAAAACTGTCAAAATTCTTGTATTGTAGGTATCTACTGAATTAGTTACCCGATATTTTGGGATTCTGTTGTACTGCTAACTCAGGGATAATAGGTATTCACAACCCTGCTAACCATGTGACTTACCTGAGAAACTTATGGAATTTTCATTTTTTGTGTTCGCAGCTAGGAGGTGCCCTAGTGCTGGGCATAGGCGTGTGGGTATGGAGCTCCCGGTCTTTCTCGAGCACCCTGCTCAGCAACAACATGTTCGTGGCGTCCATGGCCGTGGTAGTCTCGATGGGGGCCGCGATGATGCTGCTATCGTTGCTCGGCTGCTGTGGCGCCGCTAAGGAGGTCAAGTGCATGCTCCTCACGGTTAGTGTCATCTTCATTTATAGCATTCGATACTTTGAAGGATTATCCTACCATTTTTATTTTTCATTCTTTGATATAGGTGTCTTTTCATATATGTACAGGAGGTTATAAAAAGGATGCACGATCTAAGGGAAGAGGGCGCCTTTTTGAAGGCGGTTAAAAAAGAAAAATCATTAAACAACGATATTCCTACACTAGCTTATATATTATACTAGCTTACTGAAATCGCTAAAACTTAAAACTAAACAATAAATTTAGCTTAAATCGATAGTGGACAAAGGAAAAGAACAGGCATAGATTAATGAAATAAATTAATTTACTTAACAAAACTTTCTTTTCAGTACTACATCCTAGTGTTCATAGTATTCGTAGTAATGCTTGTTGGAGGCATTCTTCAGTTCGTTTTTCGAGAAAAAATCGTAACAACTTTGGATCGAGAATTGATGGCCGCAATCCCCTACTATGGAACTAAGCCGGAGTACACGCGAGCTTGGGACGATACGCAGTCCTTTTTACAATGTTGTGGTGTGAGAAGTTATAAGGACTGGAACGACAATTTGCCTGACAGTTGTTGCAAGGAGATTTACCATGGACAGGTGGGTTTCTGATTCAACCATAACTTGAAGTTCTTATTCATCTATCCAGCAGATTTATGTAAACGCATTCTGTTGGCTCAATCTAGAACCAAACCATGAGTTCTCTAGCGACAAAGACTCCAAGTCCATAATTATAAGGCGGTGTATACTTTAGTCTGATGTTGCCCAACAGTGGTTATATACCGTGTTATATTCGTCACTAAATAAGAGGCCAAATCTGACACTTGTCATCGTGACGCGAATGGATGTGGACTAATCATATCGGTAATCACATTATACGATTTTCACGAGAAATCGGTTCAATATTTTAAGAGTTTGTGATTGTTTAGATTATTTTTCGTTTCATTGTTGTACAGGGTCTCCATTATGTCCAGGGTCGCAATTAATTTACAGAATTCTTTGCAATTCTGTAGCAATTCCTCTTATCGTAATCGTAAAATTGTCTTACATTCCGATGAATTGTATCCAATTCTTTTAATTTTATAATATTCATGAATGGTTTATTACGAGAATTTAGTGTAAATAAGTATTGTTCATCGATAAAACAACTAAATAAAAAGATTAAATTACCAAGAAACTACGGATTTTATAAATTTTCAATTATTCGGCTGACAATAAGTTAGAAGTTGTCAATGTCAACAACAAACAATCTCAAATAATGTTCATAACTTTCCAACTTTTTGTTACATATTTTTTCCGAGAAATCGAAGTGATTCGGTGAAATTCGGCGAATAATTACTCACAACACTATATTTAACAAAAAAATAGCCTGAGGACGTAACTGTTTTCAGGACGTTTCGGGGTAACTCAAAACTGCATTTTATTTTTGAATTCATGCGAAAACAGTACTTCAAGTATGTTTTGTCATATTATATAACGTTTCGATGAAATTTATGTTTTTTTAAACTCAATTATGCTAATAATTGTTTGTTTATTGTTTCGTTGATCGCATTCAAAGTTACATACTATCGACTTATTTAGCTGTCAAATTTGGCCTCTTATTTGGTGACGACTTTAACGATAACCAAATGAATGAATTAATGATCATTTTATATCAAGTAAACGTAATTAGATTTTTAGGCAGGCACATGCAGCAAACATTATACCTTAGTATAAGAACAAAGAAGGATGGCAAAATGCCGTGTACTTTGTGACCCAGTGTTTTTGACGACGTACATTAAAGAAACCTATCAATACTTGTGATTCATTATCAAAGCATCAAAAAAGCTAAAGCTAGAGTATAGTCTGTAGAAGTTGGGAGTTATAAAGTTGATATAGGTTATGTTTATAACATTGTCCGCTTCGCTTCAGATGTTTGTTCGTAGTAGCAGATAACAACAAATTTTCAGTTTGTTCCTAAAAATAATAAAGAACTTGCTGAATATTCCTAAATCTGCCGTACTCTACCACATTTAATACAACGTTAATATGTTCTGTCGCAATGAAAATTAATAAAAATTAAATCTGCTCAAAAGGCAGAAATCTGCCACAACTTACGCTTGTATACTTCATGAGCTACGAACTAATTTAAAAAAAATTAAGAATATATTCCCGACACTGACCAACATGAACGAGTTCGTCTTGCATGCTTTTAATAGTTCATGGTTCTTTTTAGTTCAGTACGAACTAGGAACTGTCTGCGTTGATAGTTCACCTGTCTTTTATACAGTAGGAACAGTGCGAGCGGGGCAAATAGCGATCTTTGACTACTTTTAGTACAAGTTCGAGTGGGATGCACGATCGAACGTTGCCAGCTCGTTATAAGTCTCTAATACGTATTTACATTATGTATATATACAAGCTTGCAAAAAAGTAATGTTTTTTTGGTAGGTGTGGTCTATCTATGGTGTATCTGTATGTATAATATCAACCTACGTGTACGAGTATATGAAATAGTTGTACCTAACTATTGATTTTTAAACACACCATTCTAACTAATATTCTTATTTTCTAGAAAAAGGATATTTGGTTAGAATGACACTCTTTAAACCTGTAAAATATGAAAGAAAATCATGGTATCGATTTCATACAAATCGTATTTTTAAATATTTAGTATAGTGTACTATTGATCTCATAATACTAGAAGTCCGTAGTAATTTATGCAAATAAAATTACTAGTTTGGAGCGTTCGTTCAATGTCCGAGCAAGAACAAGACGAACTACCTAAGGAATTAGATGAACTAAATGAACTAGAAGGCCGACCTAGTTCAGTTGACCGATTTTACTAACTAGGCTCTCTCCCTCTAATGACCGATCAGGCACAAGTCTACCACAACTGTTCTCAATCTCAAAGTGACGTTGACATTGGCAAGAGGTCTCTTGTCAAAACGTTCTTTTGCTAACTTTCGTATCAAAGGGTAGCGCCATTAAGCAAAAAGAAGAAGAAGAAGAACTTTCGTATCTCTCATTTGAATATTATCTAAACATTTTTGTCACATTGTTTTGAATTTTTTTGTGTTATGTCATTATTGTTTAAATGATTATTTGATTAGGTATTTTATAGCTTGAATGTGTATACTATAAAATAACCAATACTTCTGGTAGGTAAACATTCAATCATGCTTAGAATGAAACGTACGTAGAAGAACGTTACCTAATCTATGGTCGAACTGAATCAATTGCGTTTTGTTCTTGCATCTATTCTAAAATACATTGTTTTGCAATTTCTTTATTCCCAACTTCTAAAAATATATTAATAACTAAGCATAAACTAAAACATAACATTATACTAGCAAAGTCCATGAACGACACTTCGTTGATTTTGGGTCAACTTTCGCCATCCTTCTTTAATACAGTTACAGGATTATGTTTAAAATATTAACAACCTCGCAGTATTATATTACTTACATAATAAACAACAACTTTTGTCCCATGATTTCATCAGATTTTACTTTCATACAAAAATTAAAATCTTCTTATCCTTATTCCACGCTAGGTGGGGTGGGCACAACATGTATTTTTCTTCAACTCTCCCCTATCAGCCGTCACTTTTATACTCACACGTTTCTTGTCCATGTCATCTTTCACGCAATCCATCCATCTTTTCTTTGGCCTTCCTTTCCCCTTATGTCCCTCCACATTCATACCTCTTCTCGTCACATGACATTCTTCCCTCCGCTTAACGTGTCCATACTACGCTAACCTATTACTCCTCATGTTTTCCGTCACTGGCGCCACTTTCAAACTTCCCCGGTACTCATTCCTTATCTTATCTTTTCTCGTCACTCCACACATCCATCTCAACAGTCGCATTTCCGCTGCATGCACAGTTCGTTCAACCTACCTTTTCATCGCCCAACATTTTGATCCATACAGTACAACAGGTCTAATCACGATCTTGTATATTTTCCCCTTTAACTTAAGGGCTATTTCATCCATCCTGCACTTAACCTGTTCTTAACGTCCCGATCTATCTCGCTGTCGTTCTGTGTCTTTTCTTTATGAGTACTTATCAGATACTACAACAAAAACTGAAAAGTTTATTAATGGTATATTTGTGACGTTTTGTAAAAAGTTATGGAACAACAGTTGTTATTTAAGATGTTAATAATATAGTCCTGGGTAGAGATGGGAAAAATTGCATATTTTTTTAAACTTTTAAACGTTATGTTTTTTAAAAAAGCGTGCTTTTTAAACGCTTTTTAGTGTGAAGCTTACAAAACCGTTTAGAAAACGTTTAAGCGCATAGACTTTTATGTTAAAACAAGCTTGCAACATTGTTGTGTTGACAGCGAAACGCAAGAGTAGACCACTAAAGGTTTTAAGATAAGTTTTTTCGTAAAAAACGAGTTATATTTTTATTTATGACATAACATTATTATATTAACATTTTGTTCATTGGCGTTTAAAAACATAGGTTGTTTAACTTTTGTAGTTGTTAACCGTTGAAACGGAAAAAACTGCTTATTTTATTATCGTTATAACATATGTTTAAAAATCATGCTTGTAAAAGCGCTTTTCACTTAAACGCTTTTTAGTTTGACGCTTAAAAAGTCGTTACAAAAACGTTTTAGCGCATAGACTTAATGTTTAAAAAAGCTTGCAACGTTATGCTGAATTAATTTGTTTAGGAAACATAAATAGCGCTACTTGAAACTTTGTTATAAAACATGAAATTATTGAGTATCTATAGAACTGACCAGTGACCAACGTTTACGCTCAAAATGAAAAGCGTGCTTATGCGCTTATTTTAAAAAGCAGACATTTTTAAGTGCTTTTCGTTTAAACGCCCACCTTTAGTCCGGAGACGTTGTTAGTATTGTACAAATAACCCTGTGTAGTGTTACAGATTGCGACGTATTTGTAAGGCACAAACATGTTTTGTTAGTTAAAAACATCCAGTATATAACCAGAAATAGAGACGAAATATGGGCCATCCATCCCTGGCAACTCATCAGGTAAATGGGCCATATCACTTTTAAATATCAACTCTCGTATGCGCTGAAACCACAAATTAGAAAACTGAAATAATACAGCGCCAACAACTGACCTATGTTTACGTAGAGACGAAATAAGGCCCATCCATCCATGGCAACTCATCAGGTGAATGGGCCATATCACTTTTAAATATCAACTCTCGTATGCGCTGAAACCACAAATTACAAAACTGAAATAATACAGTGCCAACAACTGACCTATGCTTACGTCTCCGTGCATTTCAAAAATATTCTGTATTTATAGATAATATCTCTAACAATGGGGGCTGTTCCGTTCGGTGGTGTAGGAAAAACAGCAAAACATCTAATTAAAAAACAAACGCAATCATTTCATCGGTAATTAAACATTAAATAAATATATCGAATTCTAAGGTTTACGCGATTACACATAGAAAATGAAACTATTTTTCCGTATTTAAATTGCGTATACTTGTTTTTTCAAACAAACCAATGTTTCGGGCCCTTTATAGGTCCCATGGTCAGTCAACCGTGAATATTTAATTTTGCGATTTTCGTCCATTATAGCAAAGCTCAAGTTAAACTGGTCGATTAGAAGTGAAGCAATTGACGACACCCGTCAATTGTTTCGAATTCGGGCTGGCCAATCGAAGCGCAGTTGTCACAGTAATGATTTGGCAGAATAGTTTTCAAATAAAGTAAAGACATTTCGTCTCTATATTTGGTTATATAGTCGATGGTTAAAAACGATGAGAATATGAAAAACTAACTTAAAATCTTTTTTTTAAGGGCTTTCATGAGGTGTCGGTAAGTTAAAGACTCTAACCTCCGCTGTTAGATACATGTTGTTGTGATGTGCTAACTAAAAAAATAACCCTGTGCTAATTACGTCTTGAACCAAGAATTAAAACAAAATATTTAACGCTTTATGTGTGCAATATTTATAATGTGCTTTAAGTTATACTTTTGTTAACTAGTTATTATTAACCATCGTAATTTATACCATAGTATTATAATAAGACAAGTAGCGCCGAATCAATGACTATACCAACTCATCCGTAGAACAAAGACCTATGTGCAAGACTGTTATTCTCAGGACATTGTACATTTCGTTCGCTGTTCTGAGCTGTGGATATTAGATCGACCGTTAATCGATTTTATATTTCCCAAAAGAAATAATACATAAAATTCTGAATACACCTATATGTAGCTAGGCCTTATTTTGAATAACGAGATTATGTATTTATCCTCTTTTCGTTGTGTAATCACATCGGACTCTGTTCTTTGGATGAGTCGATACGTCTCTCAAAGCGGAGGCTTGTCACATTATTATTATTTTAGTTGTATTCAGGGTTTTTACACATTAGTGGATGCTGATGCGGACGCTGATAATATATATTAAGAAAACGCTAAAAATATACGGACAACGGCACACCAGACCACACATTTTTGTTCGAAAATCGCCTCCAGTGCAACGGAACAAGATACGTCAATGTAGCTTGATGTACTGGCGTGTGTACATGCTTCCTGAATCTATCAATATGAAAAAGCTTTCTACTTTCTTTGGTATTATAATAAAATAATAATTAAATAATGTTGTGACATTTCTTAACAAAAGAATCAATATGCATGAAAACAAGCACTCTGCTTAGCTTAATTCTTCTGGAATTTTATCAAAGTTACATTGTAAAAAAATAGCTGAGCTGTTTTTTCGGCTTACAGTCTGTTTCTGGAAGGTTTGTAAGTTATTCCAGTGTGGGTTTTGGGTCATGTCACGGCTCAAACATCTGCAATGAATATCAGCATCGATGAAGATATTATAATTTGTGCTGATTATCAGCGGATGCATATGCTGATATTCTCAACAACCCTATATAACAAAAAAAATTAAGTATTCACCGCAGTATTTTTGTGCTACATTGAAATAAAAAAAATAAAAAATAAAGGTTTTATTTTTTGTTTTTTTTATACATACTGATATTTTTATACCGCAACGCGGATTATATTTCCATTATGAGAGTATGTTCGTGAAATGGAAATTAAATGCGAGTTTGATTTTACACGATACATTTATTAGCAGTAGATCTCCTTCTGAAAGAGTTTGTCCAGGAAAGTACTGCTACCTTACCTATTGTAGCCGTTAAGCAGTAATGTGAGCATTCTGGTTCCGAAGGGTAAGGGTGCTGGTGAAATTACAGTCACATGAGACTTGTCAACTTATGTCTCAGGATGACAGGCGCAGCGGCAATGGCCCTAAGATCTTTGCGATTGAAAGCTCTGAGTGGCATGGCAACTATTGTGGTATAAGCGTGTCGCTTATAGCGTGTCGCTTATCACTAGGCGCACTACTGGTTCGTCTCGGCGCTTGGTAGTATAAAAAAATATAAATAAAAAATCTATAAATTTATATATATCAATAAATTTATATCAGAAAAATATTTTAAACTGCGAGCGAAAACGCTTCAGTTCTAATAATTGAATCTAATAATAATAATTAACGGTGCATGCAACCTGCGGTGTGCAACTCGAATGCATCGCGAGATTTTATGAATGTTGCATTAATGTGTGCGTCCGAATACAACCTAAAATACGTCTGCGGTGGCGGCGGGGTCGTGCACACATACAAGTCTCGTTGCTATGTTTGCATGGAGTTGCTACGTGTCTCTTATATGCTGATACTTTTTACGAATAGGTTACGAATTTATCTAACCGCTGTGTTGGCGTAAAATTACAATTGAATAATTCAGTGACGCAAGAGTCCATATGACTGTCTTTACTTTCGACGTGTAGATCTAACGGTTTTAGGCGCTTCGGTACTGTGGATGGGAAGGCGCCAAGACCCGCTCGCCCGCACCCGCCGCCGCGCCCGCGCCTGCACTCTGAATGAGCTCTTACCCCAGTGTATCTTCTAGGAACGAGTTACTTACTATACTTACCCCTGTATCTATGATTTTCCAGCGGCTGGACTGCAGAACGAACCCAAACCCAAGCACTTTATATATGGAGGGTTGTCTCGAGAAGACTACGAATTTCCTACGCGAAGACGCAGTTTATATAGGCGTCATAGCTGTCCTCGTTGCGATATTTATGGTGAGACTCAAAAATATTCTATAATAATATACTGTACCATTATGTAAAGGCGTAGCTCGGGAGTTATTCAAGTTGTACAGACGGATATAATACTATTGATAAAGTTTTTATTTACCTTATATGAAAAATAATAAACTTGTAATTGCAGTAGCAAACTGATAAGTGAGAGAATCATAACTTCAAATCGAAGATAAGAATGAAATCGGTAAACAATGCAATCGTGAACTACCGTAACAATCAAATAACTCCTCTTGACTTTAAGATATTATAAAACTGAACTGCGGAAGCATTGTAACAGTTATTTAGATAAATGGAGTTTGAACTTTATAATCTCAGTACAGAGTACTAAAAAACCGACCTCAAAAGTACGTGGAATTACATCTATTTGACAAGTTTTATTGAAATATCCTTTAGTTTGCCACTATACAGGACTTGACACAAGAGATAATAAAAATCGGTTCTCACTACTCAAAGTATATAGAGAGAAAAACGCCTTGAATTGGAGAATAGTAAAACCAACCATTAAAATAATTGCTCCTTTAGTAAAATTTAGGCGCTATTTATAAAGAATAATGTTCAAGCGTGATGAGCCACCTTTAGAGGTGGATGATTTTTTTCAAAATGAAATGGGAGCACTATGGAGGTACTCTCTTTCCAACAAAAAAAGAATCATGAAAATCGGTTCACATAGTAGCAACAATATACTTATTACTAACCATAATTTAAACTGAAAAACACGACAACAGAAAAGTCTAATCGTTTCCATGTAGTACATCAAAATATTCAAGGCTTTTCTGACAAAACATTAGAAAGATTTTTTTTTTGCACGATATTTCCGTTGACGTGTTTTGTGTTACAGAACACTGGCTGAAAGACTATGAAGCAATTAACAACATAGAAAATTATGTAATAGTCAGTTCGTTCATAAGAAAGAGCTTAAGTAGAGGCGGATCTATGATTATTATTAAACGTAACTTAAAATTTAAAGAGCGTAAGGATATCACAGAGTCTTAAGTGTATACAGGCCCACGTCTGCTAATTTTTACGTGTTTGAATTAATTATGGGAGACACTTTAAAGAGGATTTTTCCAACCAAAAAAAACTTAGTAATATGTGGGGATTTCAATGTAAACCCGTTGGAAAACTGTTCTACTTCTGTAAGACTCATTAATTTATTTAAAAGTTTTAACTTGATTAATCTTTTTTTAGAACCAACTCGCATCACTGCCTCCTCTTCTGCTTGTATTGATAAAATCTTTTGTAACACAGACGCAGTGTCTAAATCAATAATAAATTGCTTAAGATCAGACCATAATGGCCAATTGGCTTCTTTTAATTGTAAGATGAGCAAGAAGGTAGACCAATTTCTCTGCAGACCGATTACCACAGAACGAATCATTAGATTTCAAATTAATATCGGCAATAGTTTAAATTCCCTACCTCCCCATATACAGGAGGTTCCAAATACTATTAACTTATAATATAATAATATTCCAAATACTTTATATAGCACGATATTTGGTTTAATTAAAAATGAATTTGATAATGTATTTAAATCGAAAACATTAACTTTCCATAGAGA